TTGAACATGATTTATTTCCTGTGTAGGCAAATTATTCTAACTCTTTGGGTTTCATTTTCTCTGTCTTTAAAATGAGGTAGTTGAACTAAGCAATCTTTAAAATACTTATTATGTATATAAATATATATGTATATATATATTATATAAAAATAAATAAAATAAATGATCTCTAAAATCCCTTCTATCACTAAATCTGATGACCCTGTGAACACCATCCTTTTTCACAGAATTTGAAACAAAGGTATAGGGAATGCAATTATTTTGGATTGCCAAAGGTAAGACAAGGGTTACAATCACCATCAACTCCATCACAGTTTTATGGGGTTTGCTCTTGAGCTGATTTACATAGGAATCAAAGGAATTATAGGGAACTGAAAACAAACTCATCATCCTGCTTTATTGAGTTATTATTAAATTGAGTCCCTAGGATCATATGGGGCAGTTATATGGTACAGTGGATAGAAAAACAGGCATGGAGTCAAAATGACTTGAGTTCAAATGTGGCTTCAAACACTTACTAGCTGTGTGATGCCTAGGCAAGTCACTTAACCCTGTTCACTTCAGTTTTTTCATCTGTAAAATGAACTGGAGAAGGAAATGGCAAACCACTCCAGTATCTTTGTTAAGAAAGCCTTAAATGGGGTCACCAAGAGTTGCACATGACTAGGTTTGTGACTCAGGGATATGATAGGAGTTGAAAGAAATTTTGGATAATATATCAGATAACAGTTTAGATGAAAGGAACAGCAGGAAACAAACAAAAAAAAAAGAATTCAAAAGTCAGAGACTTTAAGCCTGAGGCTTCATTTATAATGGCCTCATTGATAATTTTTTCAGCCCTTCCCAACAAACTGGAGATTTTTCCTTTTTATAGATGGTGATGCCTGAAGACAGGCTCATGAAGATCAAATTGTAACTCACTCCTTAACCTTCCTCCAAAATGTGAACCTACCCATTCGCCACAAGGAAAAGGAAAAACAACCATAATCATTGAGGACCCATGAGATAAAATTAGACCAGGTCCACAATCAACAACAGTTATAAGAGTCAATATCAATTGATCAATGAATGAATAAACATTCATTAAGTACCTTCTATGTGTTGTGTACTTTGCTTAGAGCTGTGGATAAAACAAGAAGCAAAAGATATGTCCTACCCTCAAGCAGTTTGTAATCAAGTGGACTAAAGGACTAAAATGAAAATGGCAGAGAAAACATACTTGCCCTGGAGTTAAGAGAGATCTAAGTTTAAATCCTTCCTTCAGCATTTATCAGAGGTGTAAATGTAGACAAGTCATTTAACCTCTCCAAGGCAGTATTTTCTGATGTGTATAATTTGCATAACAATAGCAATAACTTAGACAACTAGTGTGAGGAATTAATGAGTGAATATGTTTTATAAACTTTAAAACACTAAGTAAATTTCAATTACTATTAAATTCTGAAAGCAATTTCCCATTTCCTTGGCTGGCATGACATATCAGTGTTAGCTCTCAATAAATTGTGAGGTACTCTACCTTAATTTTGTCTGTTGGATTCAGTACAAAGTAGGAGTAAGATCTGGGAAGCATCATCATGGCTTCTTTCTCACTGAAGTCACTCATTTCTCTTAGAGAAGCATGAGATCAAATTTTGTTTTATTCAGAGAATGAAAGCAGAAGAAAAAAATGAAATAAGGATTAAAGATAGATATGTCCTAGTGTTAGTGACTCTTTGAGGGGTTGGAAGAATGTCAGAGAGAGAATTTTATGATGACAAAATCCATAATTTATGACATCATTTTGAATTATAATCTCAATACCAAAATTTCCAAGATTAATAGAGTTTGCAGAAGTCAGACTGAGGTCCTTCTCTCCTGGCTCCATTGTTTCTCAATTTGGTAGCTTAGGAACAGTATATTAAGACAACAGTATATTAAGAGGCAGAATTGTGAAAACAAATGTGCCCTGAAGCTTTGAAAGATATTAATCCGTAATTGGTATTCCTTAGTCCATAAAGAACTTTCCCAGATTGTTGGGCAGAGCTCTGAGAGAAACAAATGGATAAAGTTACCACAGCCTACCAGATCACTGAAACAGAAATCCCCTCCATTATGTCTGCAACAATTGGTCATCTGGTCTCCTCTTGAACAGGTCCAGGCATGAGAATGCAATGTGAGTCCCACTATTTATTCTCATCATATAAATGCAAGCTTTCATTATTTTAATGTTATAATTATAACAATGCCTTCATAATTTCCAAAATTTTCTTATCTCTATTGGAGTCTTGTAAGAAACACTCCCTAATCCTTTAGGTCTATATGTCTAATCCTCTTGTACATAGCCAAGGATAGACAAGAACACTCAGATCTTTTCTAGCACAAGGACACCAGAGCATTGTCCCAGGTCCTGACATGCAGCAGGCACACATTGCTTTCTTTTCTCTTTTTTTGGTAGATAAATTTACTACCCAGCCTACTTACTCCCTTACATATATACCCTGCATCTTCCAGGGTACCCTGAACACCATGGTTCTTTACCAGGGCTCACCTGCATGAACAGCATCATCCCAATGCACAGAAGATGGACACACTGAGCACCAAAGATCAGTAAACATATTTACAGGGGAGATCAGTCAAGGAAGTGCTGCCAGCTGCCATTAATTTAGCCGTAACCTACCATAGCTCATCCCTCTAGAACACTTCTCTATTATTAATAAACTCTGTTTCAACCTAAATCTTTCTCGTTATATTTCTTCTTTTTTCTGGTGCTCACTGAAACATAGCATTCTCCTGAAGACACGACTTCTTTGGGTATCCTTTTCAAGGATTTAAATGCCTTCTCACACACCTTCTGATACACAGGACTAAGAAAATTTAACGTATTCTTTGCTTGGCCCTGCCACTTCCAAACTTTTGAGTCTACCCCTCTCATTCATCAACTATTTTATAGTGGTCTTTGCTGCTGAAAACTAAGGAACTCCAGTTCACTTTATTACTTCTCCAATAAGTTCAGTGCTTGACATTCATAGTTCTTTTCTACTCCTTCTCATCCCTCCCATGAAGCCTCAGGCCTGCCAGTTACTCAACTTCCTCAATTTCTATGACCTAAGAATTCAAGCTACTTCAATCATGAAAAAAATATTATTCATTGTTTAGATACTGCCCAAGATTCACAACCCCCAACTCAAATAAATTGGTCCCAGATGCCAGAATTCCTAGGTAAAGCACTGGGATTATGTCCTGAAAAGATCATTATGCACTTGGAAAGGAAATAAAAAGAAAATAATTGAGAGCAAGAAGAAAATATCAATGGCTTCTTCCTAGAAAAGAGGGGTCCCTTATGAGATGAGTCCCAGTGGGAGCCTCTGACTGTGAATTACTAATGAGCTCCCAAGAATCTTGTGAACAGCCATAAAAGCCTCAAAGTTACATCATCAAAAACTTCATTGACACAGATAAACAGTTTCTTTCCCTATGACTGAAGAGGATACTCTAGATAAAATCACAATTAGAATAATCATCTTCAGATCAAATCAACTACGAGAGCATTTCAGAGACTAAGTTCTGTGCCCTAATTCCCATGAACATTAAAAAGATTAGAAGCCTCTATGACAGGACCATAATAACCTTCATAGAAGACATTTACCTGCCAGGAAGTGAGTAAAGAGACTCTGAGATCCACTGCAGGAGGGTGAGTATTTGATTAATTTGACATTATTCTTCCTTCTAAATAGAAATTCATGGAACCTCAGGACTTTGCCAAAGAAAGGACATCTCCACATTCCATTCCACTTGTCTCTGACAATGGCATGGGGCTGAAGACTGGAAACAGGTGGCTGAAAAAAATAGACTTTGGAGGTAGGAGTAACTACAACTCAGAATTGCAGAATTTCAGAATTTTAGATTTGGAAGAGACCTTCCATTTATTCTAAACCATGCCACATGACCTCTCCCTAACACCCATTGCAGCAATGGTGGTCATCCAGCCTCTGCTTGAAGACATTCAGTGAGGGGGAGCTCACTCCTGCCCAGGCAGCCCAGGTTACTATGATCTACTTATAATTGTTACACATTTCATCTTCACATTTGCCTCTTTGCAACTTTCATGCCTTGCCCTTGGGCACTAACTGAATGAGTAGAATCCCTTTTACATATCCAACATTTATAAACACATAAAAACAATTGTCACATGCCATTGGTCCTCCCCTTCTTGAAGCTAAAATTTTGCAAGCCATTCAAATTATCCTTCTGTGGCATGAATTTAAGATCATTCATGCCCTTTTCTGTGTGTTCTCTACTTTGTCAAAGTCCATCCCCAATTAGGGCAAAAAGAATTGTACACAAATCCTAAGATATGGTTTGAGCAAGATGGAGTACAATACAATTATCACCTCCTTACCTCCTTATTCCTAGTCTATGACTCCCTTCATGTAACCAAAGATTACATTAATTTTTGAATGCCACAATATATTGTTGTCATACTGAATCTACAGTCTATTAAGAATATCAGATATTTGTCAAACAAACAGATTTTCAAACATACCTTCATACTGTTGTGGTCTTGAAACTAATGTTTTAAGTACTGTGAATGGTTTTACATTTACCTTTATTAAATTTCATTATATTAGATTCAGCCTGTTGTCCTAACCTTTCATGTTACTTTTAGAAAATGTGTTGATCAAACTGCAAGTTAGTGATCTCTCCAAGCTTTATCCTGTTTAAATTTGATAAGCATAACATCGATGTTTTTATGTAAGATATTGATAAAGATGATCCATGAATTTTGATATTAATATCAAATATTGATCAACAAATACTTTGTCAAAATTCAGGTACATGGTATCTGAAGCTTTGCCCCATAAGTGGGTTGTAGGGAAAGAGACAAAAAAAGTTAATTAAAATAGAAATGATAATTCTACTGTTCTGTCTGATCTCTCAACTGAGACTTGTATAATGAGGACTTTTTTTTTTCCTTTCATGTAAACAGGTTCTTGTCTCCTCTTACTCAGCACTCAAAAAGAATGGCTATAGCAAATTATTCACTAGTGACTGAGTTTATCCTTATAGGACTGACAGATCAGCCAGAGCTCCAGCTGCCCCTCTTCTTCCTATTCCTTGGCATCTATGTCATCACTGTAGTTGGGAACCTGGGCATGATCTTATTGATTAGACTCAGTTCTCATCTTCACACCCCCATGTACTATTTCCTTTGCAGTTTGTCCTTCATTGATCTCTGTCAATCAACTATCATCACTCCCAAAATGCTAGTGAACTTTGTGTCAGAGAAGAATACTACCTCCTACCCTGAGTGCATGACTCAGTTATATTTTTTCATCATTTTTGTAATTTCTGAGTGTCACATGTTGGCTGTGATGTCATATGATCGCTATGTTGCTATATGTCATCCCCTTCTTTATAGTCTTATGATGTCCTATGAGATGTGCTCGTGGTTGGTGAGTGGGGTGTATGCACTGGGCCTCACCGAGGCCACAGTTCACACAGGCTGCTTGTTTAGAGTACTCTTCTGTAAGGAAAATGCTATCAATCATTACTTCTGTGATCTCCCTGCACTCTTGAAGCTCTCTTGTTCTAGTACCTATGTCAATGAAGCCTTGAATCTGGCCTTCAGTTCATTTAATGTCCTTTGCCCAACTCTGATCATTATTTGCTCTTATGTCTTGATCACTGCTAGCATTTTAAAAATTCAATCCACTGAAGGCAGATCAAAAGCCTTCAGGACCTGCAGCTCCCATATTGTAGCAGTTGGTGTCTTCTTTGGCTCTGGTGCATTCATGTACATGCAGCCATCTTCATCTAGTTCCATGGATCAGGGGAAAGTCTCCTCTGTCTTTTACACTATTATAGTGCCCATGCTAAACCCCCTAATCTACAGTCTGAGAAATAAGGATGTCAAAATTGCCTTGAATAAAGTTATAGAAAGAACATTCCAGTGAAAGGAGAAATATTAGAATAATGAGTTAATGGGTTTAGTGCATACTGAAATGGAGAGAGAGAGAGAGGGAAAGGGAGGGAGAAAGAGAGAGAGAGAGATTTTACTTTGTGACAATCAGGTACTCTATCCCCACACCTGTAAATACTAAAAAAGTTAAACTCAGCTGCTTTGGAAACATTTGTCAAGCCAGTGTAGGCTGGGCCTCTGTTTCTACTTTGTTGTACTGTTTAATAACTCTCTAGTTTGCATTCCAAATTAGTAGAATATCTATGAAAGATAATCATTGATTAACCTGCTTCTGATATTTAAAGAGATAGCTTTCCTAATTTAAAAATCTGTGTGGATGCTTAGTCATTATCCCAAAGACATCCAAATAAATAGAAAAGGACCTATTTATATAAAAATATTTATATCATCTCTTTTTGATGCTAAGAATTGGAAATCAAAGTAATGCCCATCAGTTGGGGAGTGGCTAAACAAGCTGTGGTGCATGATTGTAATGCAATATTATTGTGCAATCAGAAACAATAAGCAGGATGATTTCAGAAAAACCTGGAAAGACTTACATGGGCTTAGATTCTTAAAATGTAGCCACTGCTCAGATTCCTAAAATCTAGCCACTGCTCAGATTCTTATAATCTAGCCACTACTTACCCATGTTCAGATTCCTTAAGAGTCTGCCCAGTGCTGTGGATGTTCTAATAAACCTTGTCTTTGGCTGAAAGAAGGCTAGGGTCAAATCCTTTCAGGTAGGACCCATATGTTTGTGATTTTAGGGTCCTGGGACTCCTGAACCCCTAAAGTGCATCATTTTGGTGGCCCGTACGGGGAAACTGCCTAACCCCAAGTTCTTCTCCAGCCAAGACTGGAAGGTATGTAAGCCTCCTTTCCCTCCCTTTCTTGCTCTGTAGTTGGGGTCACTCTCCAAGCACCAAGGCTTGGAGGTGCTTTTCTGGAAGACAGTTACAAGGCTGTCTTGCACTCGTCCTGACACTCTCAGGCTCTCAGTCCACTGGGTTGGTTCAAGGCCATGGACCTGGGTATACCTTCCGCAGCATAGGGGACAAGGATGGACACCCTATCTGGAAGTGTATCTGTGAATTCCCTGGGTGCTAGGTAATTGGGGAAAACTCCAGTTGCTTTTTGTTTCCCTGAGGCTTACTTACTCCCTTCCCTCTATGCCCCTAAATTCTCCTTCATGGAGGTTACAGGGGAAAGTTAGAACACCTGAAAGTATCTTGGCAGATTCTGGAGGTTTTGTGATTGATCATTAGGGAGTTTTGAAACACTTTGGATTTCACCCTCCCCCACCTGGGAAAGGAAAAAGGGGGGAGGGGCAGCAGCTACAGCATGGGCCCCAGTGGCAATGGCCTTGGGCTTTGGGGCAACCTTTGCCTGGAAGCATCACCCAGGTTCAGCACATCCCGCTCAAGGTAAAGAAGCTTGCCTCTGAACTTGGGTAAGCATGCTCTTTTAAATTTGTAGTTTTAACTGTTAAGGAAGAGATGTTGATTCTCTGTGTAAAGTAATTTAGAAGTGCATTTAACAAAACTGAAGTCACCTGATTGGTAATGGGTTTGTTTCAAGTTTCACTTATGTCAGGCAACTTTTCATAATTTGGTTACTGCTAAAATAATTTGGCTATTGTTGGTTATTATTTTAATGTGTAAACTAGCCAAAAAGCTTGCTTGGCTTATGTATGGCTTGCGGAGAATTTGCAAGTATATAGAAATCTCTAATGATTGACTTTTTCCATTAGGATAAATTTAAGTTTGAGATGTAAATCCTGGAAATGTTTTTTTTTTTAAGCTGTGATAAGTAAAACTTGCCGTTTGAGGTAAAAACTCACAAGGTTTTATTTTGAGTTGTCTGATGGGTCATAATCCATTGATAATCAATAATCTACCATCTGAGAGAAATGCCACAAGCTACTCAAAGAAGGTGATACTGGTGGGAAGTCAGCATTGAGAAAAGCTGAGAGGACAATTTTAGCCTCAGTCTAAGATGGGATCCTCCTGGCTCAGTTTCCCCATTATGTTCCTTTGAAAGGGAATGTTACTCACCTGGCTATTCCTGAGTCTGGCTATGAGGTGGATTTGATACTGCATGGTTGGAAACCTGAATTATCTGAATACAAACAGAGCTAAGGATGTTTTATCCTCTCAAAGTTGGGCCCTAAATCTAGTCCCTGCTTTATATCTGGGCCCTGCAGTCTTTTCTGTCAGATTTGTGTCTGCCAGATTACAGCCCATTCACCTACAGGTGAAACAGCGAGTACCAGTCAAAGTCTCCCATCATTGCCTGGACGCAGCCTGTGCTCGGTTCCAGTCAACCTCCTTTTTGGGACCCCCTTGAGGCAGGGACAGCTCTACGCCCCTTGCCAGCAGGAAGCAGTTTCAGAAGCTGAGACCTTCACCTTTTACTACAAAAGAATTTGGATCCCATTTATTTGAGGGGGGAATGATAGGGTTGGGATCTGGGCCCCAGAAAGGAAAAACCCTGAACTTTCCCACATGGCCAAATCTCTGGCTTTCCCCTGAGGCTGGTCTTTCATTGTGGACCTCCCTATGGCCCGAGGCCATTTCTCCATTCTCTCTTGGCCATGTGGCCCAGGTCCCTGGAATTCTATTACCTCATAGACTACTTGGCCACTCCTAGATCCCTCTCATAGTCTTTCTGTATATAAGGTCCACCTTGTCTCCATTAAGAGGCTTAGATTCTTATTATCTAGCCACTGCTCAGATTCCTAAAATCTGGCCACTGCTCAGATTCTTATAATCTAGCCACTGCTCAGATTCCTAAAATCTGGCCACTACTTAGATTCTTATAATCTAGCCACTGCTTATCCATGTTCAGACTCCTTAAGAGTCTGCCTACTATGCTCAAAGGGCTATAAAAATGTGCATACCCTCTGACCCAGCAATAGCACTTCTAGGGCTATATCCCAAAGAGATCACACAAATGGGAAAAGGGCCTACACATACAAAAATATTCATAGCAGCTCTTTATGTGGTGGCAAAGAACTGGAAATTGAGAGGTTGCCCATCAATTGGGGAATGGCTGAGCAAGTTGTGGTGTATGAATGTGATGGAATACTATTGTGCTATAAGAAATGATGAACAGGCTGACTTCAGAAAAACCTGGAAAGACTTGTATGGTCTGATGCTGAGTGAAGTGAACAGAACCAAGAGAACATTGTGCACAATAACAGCCACATTGTGTGATGACTAATATTGATAAACTTAACCCTTCCTGGCAATACAAGGATCTAAGACATCTCCAGAGGCCTTGTGATGGAAAATGCTATCCACATCCAAAGAAAGAACTATGGAAGTTGAATTGCTATTTTTTTCTCTTCTGTTGAGTTTTGTTTCCTCTTTCTGATGATTCCTCTTATTGGTTTTAATTTTTACTTACAACATCACTAATGTGAAAATATGTTTAATATGAATGTAAATGTATAACCTATATCAGATTGTGCGCCATCTTGGGGATGGGGATGGGGAGGAAGGGGGAGAAAAATTTTAAACTCAAAAGCATAAGGAAGTGATTACTGATAAATCAAAATAAATTAATAAAAAAACAAAAAATATGCTAAGCAGTTTGACATATCTAAACTTTCTTTCATAAAAAATATAAAAACTAGTATGAATTTTTATATAAAAAAGAGTCTGCCCAATATGACAGGTGTTCTAATAAGCCTTGTCTTTGGCTGAAAAGAAAAGACTTACATGAATTGATGCAGAGCAAAGTGAACAGAACCAGTAGAACATTATGCACAGTAACAGCAATATCATTTGATGAAGAACTGTGAGCAAGTTAAATATTCTCAGTAATACAATGAACCAAGACAATCTACCACCAGAGAATGAAGTGATATTGATTAAATATTGATTAAATACAGACTGAAGCTATTTTTTTTTACTTTCTGTCATTTTTTTCTCTTACTTGAATTGTCTTGTACAAAATGACAAATATGAAAATGTTTTACGTAATTGCACATGTATAACCTACATCTTATTGCTTACTATCTCAGGAAGGGGGGAGAGGAGAGAAAGAGGGATAGAATTTGGAATTCAAAACTTTAAATACAGATGTTAAAAAATTGAGGGGAAAAAGAAAGAAAATTAATTCCATCACTACAGTGTAGTTTCCTCTGGCCATTTTCCAGTAGATAGAAGCTGGACATGGAAAAGAGTTACATTTGATACAATTCTTCCTTCTCAGAACAAAGTTCCACACTCCTGCAAATGCTAGGGCTGCCTTTAGAGGTTGTGAGGTCATCATCAATTGAAGTATCAGGGCATAAGTTAAATAAATATCTTGTAGGAATTTTGTAGATTATATTTCTACCAGAGTACAGAAGTTAGAATAGATGACCCCTAGGGTCACATCCAACTCTAAGGTTCTATGACTTCTGTCCATACTGCCTACTCCAAGATATTCTATCCACACTAGAATGTCCTGATGACACTGAGAAGGCCATATAATGGTTCTAGAAGCTTTGCTGCATTAGACGTTACTGTACTTCTGTTACATGAGAGAGATCCTACATCTCTCTATTTAAGTCCCAAAGGAAAGTGTTTAGGTGTTAAGTAATTTCAACTTTAACTAGAAGCTCCAGGAGTGTTTTTTTAAATAAATTACTCAACAGAAATATGCATTGATATTTTGGGGAAAAAATGTCACTCAGGTTATTGCCTAATCAAATCCATTCGGGATTTTATTTTATCAATATCAAAATGATGGCCAAAGTTTCATAATATATACACTAAAACAGTTGATACTCAAGCTGATACCAGGATGTTATATGAAGTACAGGTAGAGTAGGAAACAAAAAAAACATAGATTTGAACATCACTTACTTCCTGTGTATCCTTTAGCAAATCATTCTACTTTTTTGAGTTTCAGTTTCTGTATGTGTAAAATGACAAGGTTGAACTAAATATTCTCAGGGACAGCTAGGTGGTACAGTGGATCGAGCACTGGTTTCAGGAGGAC